TGATACGTGAGAAATCTTGTATTATTTTGGGGTTTAATTTATATATTGGAGTATTTGATTTTAGTGTATTATATAAGTTTTCTCACGTATTTTATTTTGTGAACGGACATACACCAATATTCGTATTTTGTGTTTATTTTGCAGTTGTTATGCATATTAAAGATGTGGCAGCTAAGTAAGCGATGACGTGGCTAATAATTATTGACTGGGCGTGGCAATGCTTAATGGATTATTAGATAATTAAATATTGTTGAATTGGAGGACTTGTGCTGCGGATGGTGTTGAAGGGCAAAGAAGTGGGTTGCTAGTGGACTCTCAATTATTTGTTATTGGTTTGACTTGAATAAAAAAGAAATGGAATTAACTTGGAGAGTTTTGGAGGATTTGGATTCTAATTCTATGATTTGCGTGGCATAAGAGGAAAAAGGAAAAAAAAAACTTTATTCATTCTGCGAAGGTTTTCGGGACGTGAACAGAGAGTGGGGAAAAGAGATCAGAACCATTTTCTTTTGCTACTGGAATTTAATTTCCAACTGTGGTTTTACAAAGGAGTTTGGTTTAATTGTTTTTCTTTATTTTGTTTATCGAACATGTTAGATTATTATTTGTGTTTATATTATTTAGCTATGTGTAGCTAAACACTATTTCGGTTCTAGGGACGTTGAACCCTCGATGACTATGTTTGATTAATGCAATTTATTTCGTTTTACTCGTCGTATAAAATTGATTGTGTTATTCTATTTTCATGTCATAATGTGTGATTTTTAATTTAGCTTGATCACCTAAGTTAGGAATTGCATGTTAATTGCTAGATTTGAGGCTTCGATCCGTAATTGTCGTCGTTCTTATTTCGTTTGTAGCAACTAACAGTCGTGCATTGTTAGGGATAGCACAACATAAGTTACATGAACCGAGCTTATGTGTTTGTGGCTTAGATCGGTCTATTTTCCTAAATTTTAATGCGGCTGGCGGGTTAAATTAGGAGAGCTTATTCCGAGTTATTCGCTAGTTAGAATTAATTGGAGAGCCTATTTCGATTAAGTATAAATTAAGGAAAAATTCGGATAGCAGAGCTTATTGCTATCTAGGGTCGGTAGTTTTAGAAAACGAGTGAAATTTGATAAATGCATTAATTGGGCTAGTTATTCGAGGGTGTAGACCAACCTGGAACCGATTCCATTCTCATATTCACTAGATTATTTATTTGTTTTCTATTTCATAATCATCTTTGCATTTTAATCATCCATCTCTAGTATTAGTTTAATTTATCATTTTGCTAGTAGTTTCGTAATAAACCAAATCTCCCCATTTTTATTTTAATCTAATTAATATAATAAAATCACGGTTTATACCACACTCCCTGTGGGATCGACCCTTGCTCGCCACTACTACTAGTTAGTAGGGGTAAGTTAGGAAAATTTTATAAATATAAATTTGCCGTGTAACGACGCGCGGTCAAAGTGCAATTATAAGATAAATGCTTTCTCTTAAGATAAAGAAATGCCTTATTAATAATATAATTCCAATAGATTTATATTTATAAGTAGAATACGTCCAACTAGATTGGAACCCCGGGTATCCTACTCTAACAGTAAGCCGCCGGCAGGTGGTGGCTGCGTGTGTGGTGTGTAATTGTGTGTGTGTGTGTGAGAGGAAGAGAGGGAGAACTGGAGAAGAGAATGAGGGAGAGAGGAATCGTCACTTTAATTATAGGAGTGGGGCCCACTGTTTTTTTGGTATGATAAAATTACACAAATGTCATCTGATGTATTTATTTGATCATGGATTACTCATGTATTTACAATTTTGCCCTGTTCATTTGACCATTGTTATTTAATTTTGACTTCATCATGTCTATTGATATAGTTGATCCCATGGTTCAGAATCATTCTTATTTCTCGCATTAAGAGTCATTCTCATATGATCCCTTACCTATATATATATACATATTATATTTAAAATATTGGTCTTATATAAGAAGTTCAATGAAATATGTACAATCACAAGCACGTAGCCATTTCTCACTCATCTTAGTGACTAAAATACCCATGCTTCAAAACATTGTACAGTTCTATTAGAAGGTCATTATAGGCATTTACTTTTGATTGTTTTTTTTATTTAGAATGTTAAAGTTTTGTTCAATATATATTTATTTAATTCAAATTCTTACAACATATATAATAATTTAGCTAATAATCAATTTAAGCATTTTGATATATTATATATTTCAATGACTAGCAAATGCTATAAATTTCAATTTTTATTTGACTATATACTTTTATATACTTGGTTTTTTCTAATAAAATATTATATATATATGTAATTTTATTTACTTGGTTTTTACTTGACTAATTTAAGAGCATTGATTTTTTCTTTGATGTATCAACTTTTAAATATTTATTTGCACCTTGATCGTGACTGACTTGTTAACCGTCATCATAACTATCCTACATCATGTATAAAAAAATAAATAAATAAAATAAAAAACAAACAAACAAACAAACAAATTCCTTCTCTCTCTCTTACTCTTTCTCTCTCCTACATAACACTCTCTACTCTTTCTCTCTCCTACATAGTACTCTCTACTCTTGCGGATTTTAGGGGTACAGAAGGCACTGACTCGCTGGCGTTCAGATAGACTCGAGGCTTTGGAGAGGGCCTACATAGTACTCTCTACTCTTTCTCTCCTACATAGTAC